AAGATTGTAGAACACTAATAACTAAAAATCAATCACTAATCTGGCAATTTACATTTATCAAGTTCGCCTTCCCTACCATGGACAATCAAACAACAAATAGGCAGATTTCCGGTAATCCACAGATCTCGATGATTGGTGAAATTATGTCAGTTCGTTTCCAGGAAAGTCTTCATAATTTATATACATGTCTGAATTTGTCCTAGTTAACCGTGAATTAGCAAATTAATTTAAAATAATTACTATTCGTTCACAAAATAATAGTAGATTCGAAGTTTTTTCATATTCAGGTTAATCTGAAGCGAGTTATGACTACAAAGCGTTCATCTATTGGGTTGATCTTAGTATATCTTACTATGTAAAGAGAAATTGACCATTAGCCCTTATTTTTATTCAGAAGCATTATTGGACACATTCCATAATATTCGGAAATATTCAAAGTAATGAATTAACTATAAACTCCCAGAAATGTTCAATTTAGGTCAGATAGAACTCGATGAACACAAATGAACGTACTGTATTCGGAATATGCAATAGGCGCGGTATAATGTATAAATAAATCATTACATACAAACATCGTGCATTTTAGTGACCTCTTTTATCAAGAGAACGCGATCGGTTTAATGGAAACAATTATTATTATAACCAATTGTACCAGTGATTGTTTTACTGTGCTCATTTGTTTAACTGTGCTAAAGACAACCATATTACTGCTCCATTATCTTTCGATTGTGACCTTACACGGGTTCGGTTATGCTCGATAACCACGTTTGTACTCCTTTGGCACGATCTCGGTATCATTTCGATACCACGAGATCGCCAACAAATACATCTCGACTATAGCCATCAACTGCCTTCTGATGTTTGACTTACGGGGTATTTTATCGGTTAACTGACGCGTAGTCTTCTTGTGGCGGTGTTCATTGTCAAGCGCGACTCGACTCCACGCCACACACTCACAATATCACACTCTTTTGATCAAATGTTTTTATGTTACTACTTTGCATTTTGATAGAACAGAAATATAAATTGTCAGCTTTGCAAAAAATTAACAATCATTATGTTTAGTTTCTTACCGTTCGGGTAAATCGAATACTACGTTTTTCAATTTTTCAGTATCCTCAAATAATTCGTAAGTTATTGTCTCACGACCCTGTTAGTTAAAATTTGGATAGTCAATCATGTAACAATATGCAATAATAATCATAATATAAATAAACATCAGCTCAAGTTGCTATACCTCATATCACCATAATCCGAAAGTAAATTAACGAACCTAGGATCATATGAGGAGAAATTGTCTCCACAGCTTCTATCGATTATCTGACTTTTAAACTAACAAGTATAAGTTACTATTTCGTTAACATTGCCAAATCATCAACAGCTGACAATATGATGAATAAAGACTGAACGCGCGAGATAAAAGCTAACTTTTTTCAAGCAGTAATCACCTGCAGGTCAAACTTGTATAGAGAACAAAAGAAAAAAGCAATCTAAGAACGTGACAATGATATTTTCAACTCATAATGAAGTATATAAAAAAATCTGAAAATGTACCTTTATGAAAATCTAAAGATACATTTGTAGCGTGGTGTCGAGTCCCAATCGACTATGAACACCGCTACAGAGAAACACGTGCCAAATAATCCATAAAATCTCCCGGAAGCCAAATATCAGAAGGCAGTTAATGGACCAAGTCGAGATATATTTGCTGGCGATCTCGTGGTATCGAAATGATACCGAGATTGTGCCAGGGTACAGGCTTGGTTACAGAACGTAACCGAATTCGCGCGAAGTCACAATCAAAGTGTGTGTATATGAATGCTTCCATTCCACAATATAGCTGTCATTAGCACAGTCAAACAAAAGCACATTAAAACAAACACTGGTACAGTTGGTTATAATAATAATTGTTTTTAATAAACCAGTCGTGTTCTCGTGATAAATGTGAGTCACTACACATTCATGGATGACTATAAATATAGGGTCTCAATCGACCAATCTCCAATGGCATACATGTATTCTTTAATAATATTTAGTCCAGACAACCATTATCTCGTCCAACAGATATGAGTTTATTTGCGAAGAATTTTCCCTATTGTTGATTTCAAGACTTCCGTTTATCACTAGGTCTCTGGTTTCAGTACTTCAGTGGATAACATTTTCAGCTGAAGAAATTTTGAAAATCGGGGGGGGCAGTAGTGAATTATTTCGTTCTAGCTTAAGACTCTTCAACAGTAACTATGGCATCACGATGAATGAAACCAAGGAAGTTCAAATGTTGAGGTGAAGATATAATGAATTCAGATTACTGAATAACATCCAGTGGCTAACATATCCAACTTTAAATTCACTTTTTAATATTTTTAGATATATTTCATGACAAAATTCCATTTGAATTATTTTTTTCTGGTTAGAGTTTTTTTAGCGAGTTAGTTTTCTCAAGGATGGGGTTACTAACTCCATACCCAACCCTCCCCCTTTATCCGGGCTTGGGACCGGCAGTAGCTCCCGGAGGGGCTTCAAGCGGAATTCCATTGGACAACTGCAAAAGATAGATTTAAACTATGCATGGAATAAAAGAAGAACGAATAGTACATAAAAAGTCTTACTCACACTCTAAATAATCACAATGATCAACCATTGATGAAATATGTCTATTCATGAACTTAAATGGGGTTTGATGATCGGTCAACAATTATCATACACAAGTGACATCAAGAGAAAACCGTTAGATTTTATAATAAATCTATCCCAATTAGTGTTATACTGAGTAAATTCCAAATTGAATGAATAAAAATGGATGGTGAATGTCGTACTCAATGAGCATCACTCGAATATCACACTGAATTAAGAATAAACACAAGTGATATACTAAGTAAATACTCCATCAAATTGAAACTGTGTCTTCATGTTTTATCCAGTCATAACATCTGAATCTTTTTCTAGCTGAGTATGTTAGAGTTAGTCTTTTGAACTGGTTTTCCTTTTCCCTCTCGTTTCATTTCTGAACGAAAAAATATGCACGATTTGATATGATATGAAATTTAACTATTATGGGATATTGTTGAAGTACTTATTATTGAGTAAATGTATTAAACATTCTAACTACTTTGGATTTCATTAATTATCTAAATGACTTCAGAGTGTAGCGACCTACTTTTATCAAGAGAACGCGATTGGTTTAATGGAAACAATTATTATTATCATCAATTGTACCAGGGATTGTTATACTGTATTTGTTTGTTTAACTGTACTAAAGACATTCTTCCTTCCGTTCATTGTGACCTTGCACGCACTTACGTCTGCTCAGTGATTCCGCTTGTACTCTTTTGGCACGATCTTGGTATTCTTTTGATACCACGAGATCGCCAACAAATATATCTCGCCACAACTTCCAATCGCCTTCTGATATCTGGTACGCAACCTTCTTGTAGTGGTGATCATAGTCAACCACGACTCGACCCGACGCTACAAGAGGCTAATTTCAGCATAGTCTTAACATCTAGTCATTTCTCGATTGTATATATCACAGACTGATTTTATCCGAGGTACTGTAGTAAACGTGAACAAAAGTGGGAATAATCAAACGTAATTGAAAACAAAATTTCATAATCACCTAGTGAAATCTCAGAACCATACAGTAAATATTTCATCCGCAAAATACCAGTCAGTCGTCTCAAACTTAATTGTTCCTTCATTTCCATAACAATCATTCTCTATTGTCGTTCTGTTTTCTTCTATCTTCTTAACCTTCTGCTGCCAGGAATTCCATCTTTGATTGATAATACATACTACTTATATCTATCAATATCAGTGGAACACATCATTATACCAATGAAAACCTAATAGGACTGAACAACTTTTTCGTCATAATTATTCGTTTAGTTCCATTTTTTTAAAAATATAGATTATGTATACAACTTTTACTATCAGTGAATAGCAACCATCGTCATTAAATTCCTCTTCTGGTTATCAGTAAATAGGTATTTCTGGTTAACATGTATTTAGCGAGTTAGTTTTCCACGGGATTGGGTCGCCAACCCCATATCTAACCCTCCCCCTTTATTCGGGTTTCGGACTGTCAGTAGCTCCATGAGGGTTCCAGGTGAAGTTAGTAACTAGACAATAAGATTGTAATCACCTGAAATTTGAACAAAGTTTCAATAACAACAACAACAATCACAATGAAACTATTTGAAATAACTAAAAATATTCAAAGAATTTCACAGGCTCAGTTGTGTTCTTTCTTCCAATTAAACATTCGAATTTATTCCTTCAAATAAACAAAACAAAAACGTTTATATTGACTTGATGTTGTTTTACTTGTATTGTGATGTGTGCTACTTATATTGACATAAGTAGTAGATGATGTTAGTCGTGAACAGAAGGTCTGGAAGCAGAGAGACAATAGGATCAAACAGTAAAGAATGGAAACAGGATGCAGTTTGTATTGAAGTTCAAGAACAATGAAGTCTGAGTCATTATGAGACAATCGATGGACATTTTGCAAATTAAATATTTACTTTGTGATTGTTAGATTTTATTAACATGTCCTGTAATTTTGGGTTAAATGCATTCAGTTGTCCCCCCCCTAGTGTTCGTGTTCACTATAATATGTCGCCATGCAGATATGTCCGGCTGACGAGTCCCAGATGGGACGAAACATGCGTCCTGGATTCCACTGCTAACCACTATCCATCTTTGCTTAGATTAACATATGCTAGATAAATAAAGAGAGAGAGGAAAACAAGAAGAAGAAGTACATTTGAATAACTGAAACTAAACATTGAATATCAAATTATCTAATCACAAATATAAACAAGGGAAGATGATGGAGTTAAAAAATGAATGATGAATCATTCATAATTGGAATTCTGGACAACTTTGTTGGTAAGAAAACAAACGTGAGATTCAAATGAAAATCCTTTTTCCCAAGTAATAGAACAAAGTGATATCAAGAAAATACCTTGATATGACAGTAGAACTATGTATCGATCTTATTATAAACTTGACATTTTTAATAATATAAATAAATATGTAGTAGTAGTAGTAGTAATAGTCGTAATAGTAGTAGTAGTAGTAGTAGTAGTAGTAGTAGTAGTAGTAGTAGTAGTAGTAGTAGTAGTAGTAGTAGTAGTAGTAGTAGTAGTAGTAGTAGTAGTAGTAGTAGTAGTAGTAGTAGTAGTAGTAGTAGTAGTAGTAGTAGTAGTAGTAGTAGTAGTAGTAGTAGTAGTAGTAGTAGTAGTAGTAGTAGTAATAGTCGTAATAGTAGTAGTAGTAGTAGTAGTAGTAGTAGTAGTAGTAGTAGTAGTAGTAGTAGTAGTAGTAGTAGTAATGGTAGTGTGGTGAATGCTACTTGTATTACTAGATATCAGTAGTGAGACGATGATAATGATAGTTCGATAATGCAAAGGTGAATATGAGATTAGAGAAATGAAGAGATCATTTTTATTTCTCTAAATTGCCACACATACTTTGTCTCCTTCTGGTGATAATCACTGCCATTATGATGTATTATTTGTTCACACTTATCATCCATGTTTGGCAGTGTTCCGTTTTAGAGAGAAAAGTAAAAAGCAACATCAAATTCTATATACATGATGACATTTTGCTTTGAATAGTAGTTTGATTGATAATGGAAATCAATGGAATACACATTAATACGAGCACTAATGGTCTTACTTGATTAGAATGAAGACACAACAATTGGAGATGTTTTGTAGTGACGAATTGAGATTAATTTTTCATGTTATGTGACTCTGATTCAGTAATGACATATACATTCTGATGACTAGTAAAATGACTGGCAAGCATTTTCTCAACTATACTGAGATATGGTGATATTTAGAGGGAATTCCAGGAGTTCTAGTGAGAAGCCATGACCAGTAGAGCTAATCCGTGTTGGGTAGAAATAGGTAACTACCCAGTACAATGGAAGATGATTTTTCAATTTCATGGATTGGTTGAGGCTAGACATTAACACCGTTGGATGTCAACTCAGTGGTCTAGACGTTAACCGTTCGCGCACGAGACTGAAGTTTCTGGGTTCGAATCCCACGTGTGGAATCGAGGAGTTCCACAGTAGGACCAAACGGCCATTTAGTGCTTTCAGGTTTTCACTAGTGGTCTAACATCAATCGGTTCATAGTCTCAATCAAAAAGAAATGATAATAATTGATTGTGATGTTGTCATTTTGAACTTGAGCAACTAAAAATACTTTCCTTCACTAATACTCATAAATCATCGATTCAAACAGTCTCTCATACATGAACTAAGATGTATTTGGTGGTCATTTTTTATGGTGTATTTACTTGTTTGAAAAAGAAAACCTTTTATTAAGAATATCTACTCTAACGACGACTCCCAGATAAGGTTAACTACTAAGGGAGGATGTTTGAATCCTACAACCACCAAAGATTCAACTCAGGTTTCGCTATTATATTTGAACTGAAAAGTAAGTTCGATAATAAATGTTCTGAAAGAAATTCAGTTTTAATCTTTTGCTTTCAACATGCAGTCATTACTGACAATAAAACAACTTCTTTAAACTCAGTTGAGAAGAGACGTTTGGTGTAGTCATCGAAGTCAAAAGTGAAATAAGATCGGAAGTAGATAATCCAGACAGTAAGTTTTAAGTTGAGTAGTCTAAATTCCACCTGAAGCCCCTCCGGGGGCTACTGCCGGTCCCAAGCCCGGATAAAGGAGGAGGGTTGGACATTGTGTTAGCGACCCCATTCCGTAGAAAACTAACTCGCTAAGAAAACGCTAAAAACACTAGACTAAAGGATATCGTCCTTTACGTGAATACAAAAGATCCATGGCTTATTTCCAGTAAACCAATCCACACAAAATATTGTGGTAAATAGTTTTTTTACTCTTCCTTCTGAAGTTCATCCTATATTTCGATCTTTCCTGAGTATACTCCTGAGTTGATATACGCCGCAGTATAGATTGATCAAAACAAAACTATCAACATATCTTACAAAATATAATCCCCCTGTAATGAACGAGAACATAAGTGGGGTTATTCTATTCTTGACATCGTTATATACTACTTATGTCGATGAAGTAGCACACATCACACCCCTATGTAGCAAAAGTAATATATATTATGCAAAGTAGAATCAAGAAAAAACGACATTGTCTTAATGCTATTTTGGTAATTCACTTAATTCTAACCGCCAACTAATAACTTTTGTTAAGTAGTAATGAGGTTCAACATTTTTTACTAATGAATATTTTCACAGATTGAAATCATGAGTCACTTGAAGCTAGACCACCATTGAAAACCAAGAAGCACTGGACGGCCGTCTCGTCCTAGTGTGGGACGCCTCAGCAGTGCGCATCCACGATCCCGCACCACGCGGGGCTCGAACACAGGACCTACTGGCTTCGCGCGCGCGACCGCTTAACCATCACACCACTAAGCCGGCTGGTATCCAACGGTGTTAATGTCTAACTTCAACCAATCCACGAAGTTGCGCCACCATATTCCATTGTCTTCAGTGAGCTGATATCTCACAACAGACCTGGTTGTACTCCACTGGTAACGGCTTCCCACTAGAACTTCAGGAATATCTCTTGAAGTCAGTCACTAGTGAGCAGATGATTATTATCAGAATATTTACCAGTAGAAAAATTTGTAAAACATTATTAAATACAAGTTAACTAAGTACTTGATGATTGTATACCAGTAATGGGAAAAGGGTATCATGTTCCATTTTTAACTAGGACATATCAGTTAAGTATAGTTACGTTACAGTGCTAATATTCATAGTCAGACCGGAGCCAACTAACTATCATTTCATTATCTCTTGACTCTGGGTTATTAACTTGTCTAGTGGTTATAAATATGTGTAGTGGCATTGGGCCATAACCTCGCAATCCTCAACGCTGAACATGGAGACAACTGGGAAAATAGATATTCAACATTTAACTCGGAGAAAAACCTAACGATAGAGAAGGCGGAAACAATGAATTGAATTAATTCGAAATAATCGGGTGGCATGACTCAACCTCGTAGGCATGGTCGCTCTGTAAGACTTGCTTTTAATTATATTAAATATGTTGTTCTACCTTCAGCCTGAATGAGTTCACCATCATCTATTGGTAATTGTTGCGATAAGATGAGTCAGTGCAGACAATGGTGTGACTTTCACGTATGATCTTATAGACTAGGCAGTTACATTATGACAAATCTATAATCTTAGGATTAGATCCTTATTATTAGAGCAATACTAATAACGAAGGAAGAAGTGCTGGAAGTGGATAGGACATACATTGAGGAAAGCACCCGACTTCGTCACAAGACAAGCCCTCACATGGAATCTTCAGGGCCGAAGGAAAAGAGGAACATCAAAGAACACATTACACCGAGAAATGGAGATAGACATGAGAAAAATGAACAAGAATTTGATAGAACTAGTTAAGAATGCTCAGGACAGAGTGGGTTGAAAAATAACGGTCGGCGGTCTCTGCTCCATTAGGAGTAACAGGTGTAAGTAAATAAGTAAGTAAGTTAGTACTAATAACGAAGTAGACAATCATTCATATATATGTTCTTTTTTAATGCTTTATACTTTCTTGTTTCAACATTCATATTACCAACTTAGACAATAAACTTACAAATAACAAACTAAGTTGTTTCACCAACATGAAATAGACATCCAAAAATAAGGTTGATGTAATGTGTTGTTTTCAATTACTTAATTTACTTTAATCTAATTATATATTACAAATAAATGGATATATACAATGTAAACATATATGTGATAAGATGAAACTAAATTCAGTATTTATCTTGTTTATATCATTCTACTCCGTGGTGGCGGTTGATTTTGAGAACAACGCTATATAGTCCATTCACTTCAATGTTCAATAGTTCATACATCTACACAAATAGACGTAAAATAACATTAGCAGGAAATGTACGAAAACATTAAATAATTAGCAATGATTTTTATTTCTATATCTCGGTGAGACTATAATTTATGGACGATCTTTAAACGACGCTAGAATGACATTGAGAATGTCCATCTGATAACTAGTGTGGTGTGTGCTACTTATATTGACATAAGTAGTAGATGATGTTAGTCGTGAACAGAAGGTCTGACAGCAGAGAGACAAGAGGATTGAACAGGAAAGAATGGAAACAGAATGCGATTTGTATGAAAATGCAAGAACAATGAAGTCTGAGTCATTATGAGACACTTGATGGACATTTTGCAATTTACGTATTTACTTTATGATTGTTAGATCTTATTATTATTTCGTGTCAAATACATTCGATTGTCCCCACTGGTGTTCTTGTTCACCACACTAGGACCAAGTGAGGGTTATACATTAGTGTGAGGAACCCGAATTATGATTTACAGTTGATAATTAAGGCTTAGGAATCAGATTTATGGTTTTTTGTCACGAACTAACTCCACCTGTAGCTCTTCTAGAGTTACTGCCGGTCCCAAGCCCGGGTAAAGGAGGAGAGTTGGGCATGGGGTTAGCGTCTCCATCTCGTAGAAAACTAACTCGCTAAAAAAACGCTAACCAGAAAAAATAATTCAAACCATTTTAACTCTGCCCTGGGAGTTAGAAGGTCTTCATTTAGAAGAATTATGACGCTTCATGGTGAAAGCGGAGTGCCTTCGGAAGTCACGAGGCCGATGCCCCTTCTAACAACCAGAGCAAGAATTTTTATAGGTACATGGAACGTCCGAACAATGTGGGAGACCGGGAAGACCAGTCAAATAGCAACGGAAATGAGGAGATACAACTTGGCAGTACTGGGAATCAGCGAAACCCACTGGACCCAAGCTGGACAGAAAAGGCTAGATACGGGAGAGATGCTGCTATACTCCGGTCACGAAGAGGACAATGCTCCACACACTCAGGGAGTCGCTCTGATGCTGTCCAAAGTAGCACGAAATGCACTTGTAGGATGGGAATCTCACGGATCCAGAATCATCAAAGCATCATTCAAAACAAAGAAGGAGGGAATCACAATGAATATTATCCAATGTTATGCACCCACCAATGATAGCAACGACGACATTAAAGATCAATTCTACGAGCGGCTGCAGTCAATCATAGAGAAGTGCCCAAGAAAGGACCTCACCATTCTGATGGGAGATCTAAATGCCAAAGTCGGAATAGACAACACCGGATATGAAGATATTATGGGACGACATGGACTGGGAGAAAGAAACGAAAATGGAGAAAGATTTGCAAATCTGTGTGCATTCAACAAATTGGTCATAGGAGGCACAATATTTCCACACAAACGTATACACAAAGCTACATGGATCTCACCGGACCACACTACAGAGAACCAAATAGATCATATTTGCATCAACAAAAAATTCCGAAGGACAATGGAAGATGTGAGAACCAGGAGAGGTGCTGACATAGCTTCAGATCACCACCTAGTTGTAGCCAATTTAAAACTGAAGCTAAAAAAGAACTGGACAACTGGACAAACAGCAGTACAAAGGTTCAATACAGCCTTCCTTCGAGATACTGACAAACTCAATGAATTCAAGATA